AAAGAACTCAAAAAACTTAACACCAAAAAAGTAAATAACCCAATCAATAAATGGGCTAAGGAACTGAACAGATACTTCTCAGAAAAAGATATATAGTCAATCAATATTAAAAGAAAAAAATGTTCAATGTCTCTAGTAATTAGAGAAATGCAAATCAAAGCTACTCTAAGATTTCATCTCACTCCAGTCAGAATGGCAATTATCAAGAATACAAGTAATAATAAGTGTTGGCAAGGATGTGGAGAAAAAGGTACACTCATACATTGCTGGTGGGACTGCAAATTGTTGCAACCACTATGGAAAGCAGTATGGAGATTCCTTAGAAAACTTGGAATGGAACCACCATTTGACACAGATATCCCACTTCTTGATTGATACCCAAAGGACCTAAAATCAGCATTCTATAGTGACACAACCACATCAATGTTCATAATAGCTCAATTCACAATATCTAAACTGTGGAACCAACCTAGATACCCTTCAACAGATGAATGGATAAAGAAACTGTGGTACCTATGTACAATGGAATATTACTCAGCATTAAAAGAGAACAAAATTAGACATTTGCAGCTAAATGGATGGAATTGGAGAATATCATGCTGAGAGAAGTAAGTCAATTCCGCCCCCCCAAAAAAGGCTGAATGGTGTCTCTGATAAGTAGATGCTGATCCACAATGGGGGTAGGGGGGTGAGGTGTGGGGAGAATGGAGGAATTTTGATTGGGCAAAGGGGAGGGAGGGAAAGGGAGGGGGCATGGGGGTAGGAAAGATGGTGGAATGAGATGAACATCATTACCCTAGGTACATGTATGACTGCACATGTTGTACAACTGTACATCATGTACAACCAGAGAAATGAAAAGTTGTGTTCCATTTGTGTACAATGAATCAAAATGCATTCTGCTATCACATATAACTAATTAGAACAAATTTATAAAAAAAAAGGGGGGGGCCCATGTGTTAATTGCTTGATCCTCTGCCTTTGGTGCTATTGAGAAATGGTAGGACCTTTAAAGGGGGGGGGGTGGCTAGTAAAAGGAAGTCAGATCATGGTGGTCATGCCCTTGAAGGGGACTGCAGGACCCTGGCCCCTTCTGGCCCCTCTCTTTGCTTCCTGGATGCTACCAGGTAAACAGATTTCCTCCATCATGAGGTACTGTGTCACCACAGGCCTAAACAGGGTCACGTGACCATGGACTGAAACCTCTGATACCATGAGCCAAAACTAACCTTTCTTCCTTTTAAGTTGATTCTCTCGGGTATTTTACCACAGTGGATGAAAAAAATGTAACACTAAGGGTATACTTAGATAAAGCAGAGGAAGGAGACAAAATAATTCCTAACAGATGTACTACAATTTAAAGCAGGGGTCAGCAGACTTTTTCTATAAAAAGCTAGATAATAAATGCTTTAATTCTTGTGAGTCAAACAGAGCCAAAGACAATATGTAAACAAATGAGTATGGCTATATTCCACTAAAACTTTATAGATGAACACTGAAATGTGAGCTTAATATCATTTTCACAGATCATAAAATATTATTCTTCTTTTTAATTTTTTTCAGCTATTTAAAAATATAAAAACCATTCTTAATCTCTCAGGCTGTAGAAACACAATTTGCAGGCCAAATTTGACCTGTACTATAATTTGCTGATCACTGCTCTCAAAGCTGGTTCCTCAAAGTGTGGACCACAGTCCAGTCATGGAAGCAGAACCCAGAACCTGTTAGAAACACAGAACCTCAAACCTGATCCCAGATCCTCTGAAGAAGAACCTGCATTTTTAATATCACTCTGTATCTGGTTCACACATTCCAGTTTGGAAAGCACTGGCCTAAGGCCTATACCATTCCAAAAGCCAGGCTATAGTCAATGTCTGTGCTTTTCTAAGAGGAGTGACCCTGGAAAAGTTCTGAGCCTCTCTGTTCCTCAGTTTCCCCATGTGCAAGATGGAAATGAGAGCATTGTCTCCCTCAAGCATGGTCTGGAGAATTCACACACATACACAAACTCACACATATACACACAGGGCTTAAAACAATGTCTGTCATTATTATTATAAAATCTCACATTATTTTCATAGCTACCCTCTGAAACCAGCCATGTTTATCCATCTCAAATAAGAAACTATGGCCCAAGGATGGAGAAACTTACCTGGCATCACAAGTTAGCCCTGAGGATAAGGAGAGGATCAAGGTGATAAAAAGGAACAAACTACCCCAGGTCCCAAGTCTTCATGCCCATGTTTCCTTTTAAGGGTCTTCTCTGTCAGTAGCCCCCTTTTGGCCCATAAACCCCTTGCTATTCCCTAAGAATATCTGCCATGCAGAGACCTCCCTGGATCTGCACCCCCAAGTTGCCCTCCCATTCCCTGAAATTTATCTTCCATTAAGTTGCATTGTGTTTTTTACAACTTCTCTTTCTAGTTACAGGTTGTAAATTTTCCCTCTGCTGAGTCTTGTAGCTGACTGGCTGTTTTTCATTATATTTGTAGGGCTCAGGGAAAAAAAAAGGGGAGGCAATTCCTTTATTTGAGAATCCTGACATTTATTAGCATAATAAAACTCTCAAGATGAAATTGCAGTTTTCCAGACAGTAATTTCATTTGCAGGACAACTTACAAGGAATTTATTTTGAAGCCAGGTAAAACCTAAAATATATGAGACATGCAGAAAGTGCTGGCCCCAAATAAAATGAAATAAATGTGTTAGGGATGGAAAACTCAGCTGTTGTCTCTCTCATATTAATTAGGCAGTGACAGGTACAGCAGCCTGGGGATTTGGGTTCTCAACCCATCTTGGTCTGCTTTCAAAGATGCTGCTGGAAGTTTCTTCCAACACAGTGAAAATCATCATGTCATCTCTCCTGATGCATCACTGCTCAATATGAAGCTTTCATTTGCATGGAGCTTCCATATTGTCATTTAACTAATTTTCCAAAACTACCAAATGGATACCATATAGAAAATCCTCTCCCCTGTTATACAGAGGTTTAGTGAGGTCAAAAGACTTGAACAAACTCACATAGTTGGTACCTAGCAGAGCCCGAACAAAAACTTGGTTCTGCAAAGTCCTGATAGAAACAAAGTAATTTTGATAGTACTTGGTTATAAATTAAAGTGCCTTAGAATTCAGAAAGCAGGGTTCCCTCTATCACTTGATTGTATGTACCCAACGAGACAGGAAGGCTGGGGAAGTTAGAGAACTGAGTTGCAAAACTGATATTATTAAATACCTTGCTATAATGGGTGCTTTTCAAGGGTTCCCCAAAAGGAAGAGACTGTGGCAAGTTTCTGTGCTGCTGCTTAATCCAGGAAAGCCATCCCAGAGGAGCAGGATGGAGAGGAGCTAAGACAGAGGAAGAGCAAGAACAAACAGAGAGTGTCACACTCACCTGGTCACTGCTTAATTTCCCCATGGCTGACTTCTCCATCTTGCAGAACTATAGAGGCCAAATGAAGAGCTGGCTCTCAGGACAGCCCCTCCAGGTGGAAGAAGTAAGAAGAATTGATCAACCAATGAGCTAAGGTTCACTGCATGGGCACTAACCCCCAGCTCTCCTGTGGCATGCCTCGGCAGCAACAGGAGGAGCAGCTGTTTCAGTCAGCTTTTTTGGTGCTGTGACTAAAAAACCTGACAACAACTTCAGAGGAGAAAAAGTTTATTTGGAGGTTCACAGTTTCAGAGGTCTTAGTCCATAGCAGCCAGCTCCATTCCTCAGGGCTCAAGGTGAGGCTGGACATCATGGTGAAAGAGTGTGACCAAGGGAAGCAGATCATATGATGATCAGAAAGCAAAGATGGACTCCACATACCAACTACAAATACATACCCCAAAGTCACACCCCCAATGACCCACCTCCTCCAGTCACACCTTACCTCCTTCTAGTTACCACTCAGTTAATCCCACCAGGGGTATTAATTCACTGATTGGGTTAAAACTCTCATAACCCAATAATTTCAACTCTGAACCTTCCTGTATTGTCTCGCACATGAGCCTTTGGGGGATACCTCAGATCCAACCCATAACAGCAGCCGTAGTACCACATGGGGCCATGTACCATAAGCTGATGCTCAAGTGAGGCTGATCCACGCAGTAAAGAAAAGGAGAGCTCACACAAAACTGGTTCCAGTGATGGTGGCTGTGGGGGAAACAAGTGGCCAAGGAGCTGGGAAGCAGGTGAGGCAAGAAATGAGTGGAGCATAAGAGATGTTTGACACACTCATCAGGTAAGGTAAACCAGTTCCCTGATGTTCCTGGAATCAATTCACCTTTTTATGCTCACCGAGCTAATAATACTGCAAGCATTATCATGCAAGTAAGTTCCAGGGATAAGGATTTGGACCCAGGTCTTCTTAACTCTAGATTATTATCCTAATCTGCTGTCTCTGTGTATGTGGTCATAAATGCTTATGCACAAATAGACACCATCACACCATCACTGAGCATAATTGAGGAGTTATTGGGAGAGTCTTCTTGTTAAACATATTCAGATGAAGTAGACACTAGAATCAACACAAGAACAATGAAGACAACATTAATCATTTCAGTAGCCTGCATACAGAGAACATTCTAAAGTGCAAAAGCCTTGTCAGATATCTAAAAATATTTCTTGCATACCAGGTCTTGGGCACATATGTAGGAATACATGAAATCATCACTTCAGTACTGCCAAACTGCAGTCAAGATATATACGATTCAAAAAGAGGGGAGGCTGACCAAAGAAGAGGTTAAATAAGGAAGGCAGCACAGAATCCATCACCTGTCGTGGAAGCCAGGGCTCAGGAGCCTTAGGTAATTCCAGTGATAATATCAAAGAGGGTAATGAACTCCATAAGCAAAGTGGCATCTATAGAAATCGTCCCCTCCATCTACAGCATCCTCCATAGAAATCCTTTACAATCTTTCTTCTATTATCTCCATGGCTTTATAAAGAGTGAGAAGCAGGAAATAACTTACTAGAAACCATTGCTTATTAGTGTTGAAAAAGTTTCAGAAGTGTGTTTGTTCAACCAACATTTATTGAATGTTTATCACACCACATGTTAAAGTCCAGGTTCAGCACTAGAATATTTTGGATTATTAAAACATGATCCATACATTCTAGGAGCTTAGTTTAGAGTAGCCATGACAAATAGGGTGAATCTTCTGAGGTCACAGCTAAATTCTCCATGAAACAGTTGCAGCAGCTATTAGCAATTTCTGTCCTGAGCATTGGGATGGGACCCACAGCACAGATGCACACATTTCATATCTCTTGAGACATACTGATGTACTTGATCCTCTGGATAGTGGTAGATCTTCTAGAAAGCCATTGGGATTTGAGTTGGGAAGTTCTTGCACTGAGTTCAGAAAGAGGGTACCCAAAGGGATTTAACTATAATAAGGAAAAAAATAATCATTCAAATAATAGGTGGTAGTCTGGTGGGCTGTCCCTCTGTCCACAGGGTTCCTGTAGCAATTCTCCCCCTGAAACAGTGATAATCTCCTCCTGAAAGGTAAAAAAAAAAAAAAAAAAGGAGGAGGGGCATTTACTTAAAATCAAGAAAGCAATATAAACATTCACTAGAGTCTTGTTTGAGACAGAAAGACAAAGACTATGCATATGTCTTCTTCACTCAAATTTCTATAAATAATGAGGCAGGGGTAATCTGCTTTAAAAAAAAGAAATAAATCTTTAAAGTATTGGAAAATAAGAGAAACCCATCAACAGAATAAAAATGTTGAAGGATCTTTGAAAACCAAGAGATATACCACATGAGATTGTTATAGGTGTCAATGTAGGACAGGGGCTACCTGCCTACAGTTACCACTCAATTAGTCCATATAGGTGGATTAATCCATTATTAGTTCACAAGTCTCACAATCTAGTCATTTCTCCTCTGAACATTCTTGTGTTGTCTCACACATGAGCATTTGGGGGACACCCATCTAAATGACAATGATCCTCTGTATCCTAATTTAATTGATCTGAGTTGGGGCCCAGGGATCATTTTCTTAAAACCTTCTAAGCTGTGGTCAACATGCAAGTAGAGTTGAGTTCCTAGTGTGGTGAAACATGTATAAGAGGATCCAATAATAACTTTGGGACTAATCTAGAACCCCTGGTGTGTGCTGAAGTCAGGTAGGGGATTTTGAACAGATTGGGGAAGCACATAGCTCCTGGGGAAGCCAAGGAGACCCCAAAAGTTCAGATACTACCTGCCCAAAAGATGAACTACTCACTATAACTCCAACCCCTACAGCATGAAGAGACTGGAAAGAGAAACTGAAAGCACTCATGGATAATCAGGAAATTTAAAGTTGGACTATCATCTCATAGCCCCAAATTTAGAAATATTTAAAGACAAGCATAACTATAGAAGAAAGATGTCAGGCTCAATAATAGAACTGATTCCCAAGAAAATAACAAGTTTATAAAACAAACATAAGGAGCCTTTAAGAGATGTGAATTAACTTTCTCAGCAGAATAAGCCATCCATGAAACAAAAATGAGCTATTATATTTGAGTGGGGGGAGAAAGGGGGGAGCAAATGAATAGCATGACCATTTAAATTAAAAAAGAAAAATTTCAGTAGAGGAACCGAAAAAGCGGAATGGACATAACTAAAGAGCAATTTAGAAGCTGAAGAAATGGCCACATCGATAAGAAAGAGACATCTAAATAGAAAAATTGACAAAGGATATGAATAGATGATTCACAGACTAAGAAATCCAACTGGCCATTAAGAGTATGAAAAGATCCTCAGCATCGGCAGCAATCAGAGAGATACGAGCTAAACAATAGTGAGATCCAGTGTCTGCCCATCTGATGGAAAAAAATTAAATGACTGAGAATCCCCAGTGTTGGCAGCAGTGTGGGGAAACAGCCTCATATAGTTTTGGCAGGAACATGAATTGGCACCATGTTTTGGGAGGGCATTCTGGCAGATCTTTTCTAATTAGAATGTGCATACTTTCCTCTCCAGAAATTCCAGTTCAGGGGATCCATCCTAGAAAAAATATTGCACATGTATTCATAGTAACATAGTGACATATACATAGTGATGAAGTCTCTGCAGCACTGTTCATCATCTTGAAAAACTAGAAGTTGAATGAGTGGACGTAAGAGGAGAATGGATAATTAAGTTGTAATATACATTCGTACCATGGAATACCACAGGGCATGTACAAGGATTGGTACGTGTCATGACATGGAAAGATCTCCTGGTAGTGACTTAGTAACTTACAAGTGTCAGGTATACTTCTTCAGCACTTTCTATGATATCTCATTTAAACCTCACAATGAATCTAAGAGATAAAGTGCTATTATTAAACCGATCTTACTGACCAGGAAACTAAGACACAGAGGTTTGAGTAGTTGCCTAAATCACATACTGTAATGAAGTTGGGATTTAAACTCAGCACTCTGATTCCAGGGACCATGATTTTAAACACCACATTCTATGATGCTTTACATATAGTTTTTAAAAATCAAGTTGCTGAGCCACATGTAAAAAGTTATATAATTTCTGTGAAAAAAAATGAAACTATATATTTCCTTATATACTTAAGCTTTTGTATTACTGCCCAGGAAATACTTGGATAGGCACATAGCAAAATGATTATTCATGGTGGAGGATAGAAACAGGGATTTTAAATGAATGAAGTGTGGGGTTGCTATGGCATTTGAATTTTCTTAAAATACAATCGTGAATTAATTGTGTAATTAAATTTTTCATTTATAAAAGCTGGCTACTGGATTTCCACATGGATATGGATGCTGTCTCTCTATAGCCTTAGAAGTGAATTGTCAGTCTCAAAAATTGAGCTTTGGAAGAGAATAAAGACCTTCGGAGACATCTGGTCTGGGATTCACATACAGAAACCTGCCCTGAGAGATGGGCATTTACCCTTCACTGGGAAAGCTTCCAGGGACAAGGAGCTCATCACCACTGAAGTAGCTTATGTTGGACAGGGAAACACATACAAAGGTTTAGTGGGAAGAGCACATGCTGTAGCGGCAGACAGTCTGAGGATTTACTCCTGGTCCCAGCTGGTCCCGGCCATGAGAACTGGCCAACTTTCTCATTCTCCCTGGCCTTGGTTTTCTGATCTGTGAACTGGGGCTAATACATATCCCTCACAGAGTAGTGAATATTAAATGAGGGCATGATGCAGATCATTGGGCTCCATGCTTGGCTCAGAGAAGGTACCAGTATCCAATATTCCCAGGCTTTGCCTTTCCTCTGGTTGTGAGAGGCTCTTTCCCACACAAGTGGAAATCTTCCCTGATCCTGGTTCATCCAGTTGTCCAGGCAGTCCACTGCACTCTATGTCCAGGTGTTTTGGGGTGGGTGACTTTTTTATATGCTTCAGTCATAGGGCCACATTACAAGCTCTTTCTCAAGCCCTGGGGACACTCATGAAGAAATGAAGAGAATATAAATCTGAGGGTCCCTATTAAAGCAAAAACCTATTGAGATGGTCAAGTCACTCTGTGAGCCCTTCTAAGCCTGGGAAGCTCAGGGAGATGTTGAAGCCCTGAGCTTCTACCACTCAGCTCTCAGAATCCCTCTATCCTGCCCTTCCAGGCCACTGACTTCCACCTCTGCCTTTCTCTCAGTTACTACTGATGCCAACAGCCACATAACATAAGAGTGGCTTCTCACTACATGCATTGTTTGAAAGACATCTTTCTCAATGTGGGTCTGTGGCAGGGGGACAAATCACAAGAAGAGTGATGGGACACAGAGACTTCCATAACCCCAGTTACAGAACACAGTTGTGCACATGATCTCATTTAAGGCTCACAAGATCCCAGCTAAGACTATTTGCATCCATATGCCTGGTGTTGTGATTTGAATTTTTCCTCCTGAAAATCATGTGTTGAAAACTTAATTGTCTTTGTGATGCTATTAAGAGGTAGGACCAGTAAAAGGGCTCTGCCTTCATGAGTGAATTAGTGCCTTTATTTCAGGAGCCACTTCTGTATTTATAGGGGAAAAAAAAGAAAGGAATACAACATGAGTTTGGCCCCCTCTTCTCTCGCTGCCTCATTCTCTCTTGCCTTTCCACTTTCCACCATGGGATGATGCCATAAAAAGGCACTCACCAGATGCTGGCCCCTCAGTCCTGGACTTCCCATCCTCTAAAATGGTGAGAAACAAATTTCCATTCTTTATAAATTACCTAGTTTGTGGCATTCTGTGATGACAGTGCAAAATGAAACGGGGCACCTGGCCAGGACACCAAAGGTAAATGAGACTGAGTGTTCTGCCCATGGCCACAAATACATCAAGTGCTAAAGCTGAGGTTCACACAAGAGAGGTGTTAACTCCACTACTAGGAAAGCATCCCTAACCACAGGACTGCCTGCTGCACTTGAGCTAACTCTCAGAGTCTGCCAGAGGCCTGGCTAGAATGTCCTCAAGAAGGGCACTCCTGAGACTGAGTCATAGGTGTGCGGAGAGTGCCATCAGTCAGCCCCTAGGTACTGACAGTAGGGAGCACTGGGCTATTCAGCATGAGAAGAGGCCTAGAGAAAAGAGCTACAGATGCACATGTGAGTCATAAGATATAATGGAACAGAGAGAAGTGGGCCCCCGAGCCTGGCCTAGTCTACATCTATGCTCTTCTACCCTGTTGTTCTGAGTGTCTCTGAGATTCCGCAGCCCCATGGGTCAGTACCTTCAGTCTTGCTGTGCTTGCTCTAGCTCTCTTCAGCCTAGGTTTCCACCTATTTCATATCCCGACTAGCACCCCGAAGAGGGATACCTTGTGAAAATCAATGAGATCCGTGAGTGTGGCATGGCGATTGGGGTCCACTCCCAGAAAGCTGTAAAAGTCTCCAGAGGCGTCCACGAGAAAGTGCTTGAAGCCTTTCTGCAGGCGGTATGAGAGGGTGTAACCCCAGATTTTCTCACTGACTCGGGTCAGAAATGCTCCCTCAGTCATGTTCTCCAGGAGATCTTCTGCATTTTCTCGGCTGATGATTCCTGGTTGAGAAGAAGTAATAATAATAAGCTGGCTGGTTCTGCACCTCCTTCCCCTTCCTCCCCTACCTATCCCTGCCTCTTACCCTGCAGCTCAGCCCACCACACTATCCAGGGTGTGGACAAGGGAGGAGAAGGGCCGCAGAGGCTGGCTAGCACTCACTTCCTTCTACAGACAAGTGTCTTGGCCCAGAGCAACCAGCTGCGAGACTGGGCACAGTTTCTGCCAGGACTGGAGTTAAGCATGCTTTCCTCCAAACTAAAGCACATCTCATTTTGATTAATTGGGCAAGCAAGGGATTATTAATGAACCAGAATTATAGCATCTATTGATTACAAATTCCCATTAGCATGCACAGCTCTGTGGATAGCCATAAGGGTCTTGCTTTAATGACTGCAGCAGAAGGACTGACAGTGGCTACACTCACCTCTCCACCTTTCTGGGGCCAGAAATGAGAGCCTGGAAGCAGTGTTTTCTCTTAAGAGGAAAAAAAAAAAAAAAACTTCCTCCAAATACTTATGCACACTGGGCTCAAAGTTTCTGGGGCACAGAATGAAGCTTCACATCCTTTCAAGGGACCATTCTGAACTGTTGAGATCCCATGCCACATAGTGTCATCGTACTACAGAAGTCAGGCCTGGAGTTGGAGTTGTTTATTCATGGATGGCAATACCTCAAGATGCTTTTAGGGAGCTGCTCTCCTCAGGGTCAGGTACAAAGGGCCATGTGTTTGGTGAGGCACGCTGAGGAGCAGGGAGGTAGAAAGGATGGACACAAAATAGACAGTCTCACTTCCCAACTCTGCGTTTCCCTGACTATGGGATCATATGCTGTGAAGAAGCCCTCAACTTCTCCAATGTCTTCTGACATTTAAATGATCATATGAGGTCTAGTTCAAAGGCATATTATGGCTTTCAGGTCAGGTAAAGAATCCAAGATAGACCGTAATGTAGCAGGAAATAATGGCAGCTGTCTTGGCTCTCAGCAGGCTACCATACAGTGGCTTTTACATAAGAATTTACTGTAGCTCACCCTCTGGATCAATTCGACCATGTCCTTGGTCATTGATTTCTCTGTTTCCAGACATGCCATGGTGCCATCTGAGATGCAGGTTTTCTTAATACCCCTCTCTGATTTGCCTGCAGTGGATCCACATTGGCAACTGCCTGTGGTGTGTAGTATCCAAGTGGAGATATTCAGAAATCAGGTTGTCTTCATAGAAAGTAACTCAAAGGAATTCATATTTATACTGATTCATGAAGAACCAGAAGGATCCGGAGATTCTAAAAGCCAGGAAATATATTCCAGACAGAGTAAAAGTGACTTAAAGTTGTTGAGGTGCATTTGAAATACTGACAGCAAGATCACCAGGAGGAGTTGGGGGTACATAGTAAGGTTGTTGCTAGGATAAATTGGAGCCATTCTGTAAGTATGGCCTTAACCTAAGAAGGGCCTTAGCCTAAGTAACTCCATTTTAAAATAAAACTGCATTCTCCACCAGGCACGACTATGGAACTCTCCAATATTGTCATCAGGCATAGCCTGATAAATTAAGTCACTTCCCACAACCCTGATAAAACTCAAAGTGAATCCACTGTCATTTGCCTTCGCCCTGATCAAGGCAGAAGTGAGAGATTAGGGAAACCACCAGACCAGATGTCCTGACCCCAGAATAAAAGATGTCATTGAGCAGCCCAGTAACAGCTGATAGGGATTGAAAGGGCCAATAGAAGCCCCAGAATTTAGCATAAATGATGGAGCAAATGAACTGACATTCAGCCAACCAATACTGATGCACACATGCCCGAAAGCCTGGACTGACATCCCATCTCTTATCATTTGCCTGATCCTCTGCATCATCCTCACGGTTCTCAAACTCTACAACCACATCTTGACCCTGGTGAGAACAGTGACTTCTCCTCAGGACCCTCTCCTCAGTCAGCGTTCAGCTCCACCCCAGGAGAAGCCTTTATGCATTCCTGACCTGATCACTGCGGTCTGAGTGAGTGTGTATCTGCTGGACTTAACTACTAGGACTTGAGACTTTAGGTCTGGCACTTGAACTTAGCATGCAGAGGGAATGTCTGTAATGAGCCTATCATAAATATGTTTGCAGTGCTTAGAATTAACTTAGAATTGGTTGCTTTGAATTGATTATGTCTATTGTACTGCCCAACATTAAGGATTGTCATTTCTTGATTAAGTACCTATAGATTGGAATTGTATTGAATAATGTGAATGGATAAAGCATTGAAAAGAGGAAAAAAAAAAGAATCCAAGATAGTTTTTAACATTGAGACTAGTGTGAACATGTGGGTCCTGTCACCATCTGCTGTTTTGGAGGAGCGGTGAATCTCAACACACTGTCCCTTTGCATACCCACTCACTTGCCCTTTGCATACCCTCAGGGGGACTATTCACTGTCAGTGACAAGCAGAGTGGCAGGAGTAGCTGGGCGACTCGTCTCTATGATGCTGAGAGGCACTCCGCCACTGAGTATACCAAGTGCACCCACAGGCCACTTCCCTCCCATTGCTCTGCCCCCAGACAAGGTGCACACCCCTAACTTTCATTATGCCCAAAGCAGAGGACACAGAGACAACCCACACTGTCAAATGCCCCACCTTTTAAACACAGCCAGCATGCTTGGGGACAACCAATGTCCTCTTTTCCTGGGACTCAGATCAAAAGGCAATCAAGCCAACTACCCCCTCCCCAACCAGGCAATGTAAGAGGAAAACTATGCTGATGGAGGCAGGAGAAGGAATGGGAGCCCTCTGGACACAGGATACCAGAAGAATCACACACAGCCCCATGCTGGACGATGCACCCTTGTGCCACCCCCTGGACAGCCTTGGTGGCTTGGGCCCAACAGGCAGTGACAGTTATAGAGAACCAAAAGGTAATGTCCAGGATCCATCAAAAGACTCAGCATGGTCCCTTACCCACCCCTCTGCCCCAACACCAGAGGACCTAGACCCTAAAGATGGCTCAGATGACTTCATTCCTTTTGGATATATACCCGGAAGTAGAATTGCTGGATTATATGATATTCTCTTATTTTTTGAGGAAACTCCATGCTCTTTTTCAAATAGGTGTACTCATTTACATCCCCACCAACGGTGTGCAAGAGAGTTCCCTTTTCTTCATATCCTCAATGACACTTTTTATCTTTAGGATTTGACTTTTTCATATCCAAAATGAACCAGAGCACCAAAATGACCATCTCCCATCTGAAATCCTTGAGTGGCTTCCTATTGATTTCCAAGGATTCATAGGCCCCCAAACAGACAAAACTGGACTCCTTGCCCCCTACCTTACCTGTTCTTTGGACTTACAGCTTACCTTCTTTGGGCTGAAGCCTGAAACTTTTTCCCAGCCCCCACTGCCCCAGCTGACCCTGACTCATTGAAAACCCCATCCCTCTTTTCTCTTAGGAAGGACAGGCTGCTGGTAGTCTTCACTCTCTACTTTTGTGCAAATGATGATCTCTGAATAGCTGAATTAGGGAAAAGGTGCCTCTTTGAGCCACAATAGCAAAACTCACAACTTGGCTGAGAGGGTGCCTGCATGTCAATCCCCTGCTCTCTCTTACTAGCCCCCTTGACAGGGTCCCTTTGTACAGTGTACAACTTGCTCAACTGATAATGAAATAATTTCTATCCAGGAGACTACATTGGATATTCTACTTTAGGGTTTTTAAAACATCCACCAAACCCTACAGTAGTAGAGGACAAATAGTATGTGACTGCTCAAGGCTAGAGCCTGTGGCAGCCATGAAAGCACACACCTCGGCCTCCCTTTGAGAGAAGAGCCTGTTACAAGGGGCAGTATCATGCCCTACAGGATCCACTATGAAGCCATGATACCCTCATCCACTAACTAGACACAGAAGATACTAAAGCCACCATTTCTGCCTAGTGTGGGACTCCTCTATGACTGGTCTTCACTCTGAGGCTTCCTATCAGACTAACCAGGATCTTTTCTGAGCTGCGCTCCAGGGGGAGGCTCTTCTCACCTGAGTGTCCTTTCCTGCTCCCTCAACAGATGCCACTTGCACCACATTCTAAAGGCTCTCCCCACCTTCTCTGGTTTCATCTCTCCTGAGTCCTCTGCGGGCATTTCCTTCCATCAATCCCTTATACTTCTGCTTCCCAGAAGACCTGAACTAAGACAGAAACCTTAAATCTTATCTTCATATCCTAAGTGCCTGGCATTGGGAAGCATGTTTGGGGAAGGAGGGGTTATTAGCAAGAACTCAAATCCTGGCCCTGAGACTTGTTCCAGAGGTCACCTTGGGCAGATCTCTGATACTCAGTCCTCATCTAGTAAGCTGATGATAACAGACAGCAACAGCTGCATCATAAAGTGGTTTGAGAATGAGGTTAATGCATGACTGTGCCTAGCACAGAGCCCAGTGGTATAACAAATATTTAACATGCTGTAACTAGTTGCATGAGACACGCTGAGCAGCCCACACATGCGTTAGCACTGGGGAACCACCTGGTACAGGTGGCAGCAATGGTCCTAGTACTGCCAGGTTTTGCTGCCCCCGCCCCCATCCTCTCAAACTCCGGCTGAGTAATTTTCTCTGAAGACGCCCCAGCCTGGGTCCCTAGGCCCCTGCCTGCACTATAAGTCTAGCTGGGCCAGTCTTAGGAGACTCTCCAGGTGTCTCCAATAGTAAGCTTCTGTGAATTCCCCAGAACTTCCATACTTGCCTAGAAAGCAAAATTGTAATTTGGCACAAAACAAAAGGTAAAATAACCTCACAGTTTAGGCAGCAAATAGCATTTTATAGAAAATTGACCTCCAAGAGAATTAGTGTGGGAAGTCTGAAGGGATAAGCTGCTGTGTTCCTACCCCACCCACTTCTCTCTCTGCCCTTGGATCTCAGTCAAGCATAGAGAGGCTGGGAAATGAACTCTAATCACCAGCCTCCTCATCCCACTCCTCCTTATCTAAACACATACCCCTCCCAGCTGAGGGAAGAAGGAGGGCC